AGGTACACCTACCGTTGTTTGCCGTACATTTTAGGTTTTTGTGGTCGAAGACTTCGGTGCAGTGCACAGGGCAAGGAAAAAATATCGACGCAACGTCATAGTAGATGTCATCGTTATAATATATTATGTGTAGTGAGTACAACGCAAAGTGTTGATCGTTTTTCCCTGACTAAAACGTCAGTCGATATCGGTCATTTCGTCAAGCACCCGTTGACCGCGATAAAACTGATATAATATTTTCTCACACGAGTTTCAACGACAAAGTAGGTAAGTATCGCAAGGCTCGCCTCTACCAAAAAAACGTATACGCATTGAGTAGTCCAAGAACGAGATCGGTATGTATGTGCAGGACCCATATACGTATACGCCGGCTGACCCAATTCGTTGTACCTTACCGTGAATTTTCGTGCAAGGCACGTGTCTGACGCTCTTCGAGTCAATTGGAACCCTCGGATAGAGGCTCTAATAATGTACACGCACACATGCACGAGCACTCACAAACAGGATAAGGTGTACGTATAATATGTATGATATATGTATATATAACAGACGGACGACCTCCAAACGAGAGCCATTACAGCGCATCATAGGATAGCCGCACTTTTGGACGATCAAGCGATGACCGTTCCGAAAGTACGAAGTTTCTTGCAGGAGGTGGTGAAAAGAGTTACGCATTTATCACACATGCCTCCAAACTCATTCGAAATGAAAGAAGCGATCGAGCGAGCCGATTGAAAAGAGATCATGTATATAAAATACACGCGCGCGCGTCGCCGTGGACAAAAGGGAAGGTTTTCGTGCGACGCCGCGCGTGGAAGCTCTCTTGTCCCGGAAAGCCCGATGCTGCGATGTGTTCGTACATTGTCGGCTGACCTTAGCCTCCAATTCATTTGTGCGTCGACGGCTGTTGATGATGATGATGGGCTCCTCTCGCCTGTATAACAAGTGACAAGAGAGAGAGAGAGAGACCATAGCCCGGACGTTGGGCAAGGACGCGCGGCCCTCGTGTATATATATATATTATGTGGTGTCGAGCTCGTCGCGCGCCGATTCATCCGATTTGCCGATCCTCCATTGTGACGCTTGCTCGCGCGTGTGTCTATAAACTTGGCTCCGGATACGACGATTTTGCGGAATTTAAAGCCCCCGTACCCAAGTGTAACTCTTTATGCGCGATTTCCGCGTCCCTCTTTTCTTTTTTCACCTACACCACACCGATGTCGCGTTTCCTCCTCTTTGTTCCTTTATTTATTTATTTTTTTTTTTTCTTTTATCTTTTGGTTTCGGGGCAACTGTGTCACGTTGCAGTCCGCGAGATTAATTAAATTACTTTTTTGTGATTCGATGGGTCTACGTAATCCGCGTGATGTTGTATGGGAAAGGGGAAAAAAAAAAAATTATTCACCAAATTGACGTTTCGTGATAAGTATATATTAGTGTCATACGCCTAACTTGTTCAAATGGAACCTTTTTTTATGTAAAACGGTTTTCTTTCGAAAATCGAGTACAAGTACTTTAGACCGAACAAAAATCGGTAATAGATACTAGAGTTTTACAAAAAATCGTGTCAAGTGCACAAATTGTTGTCTGGTTATTGGACAGTTCGTTTTTCATTGTCAGGATGATCATTTATCGGATCTTACTTTTTCATGCGATATTTTACAATAATGTTAATAAATACAAAACAACCATATATATACGAAATACAATTACAATGCGAACTATGAAAAATAAACTAAAGTAAAAAAAAAAAATAAATACACTATAGGTCTAATGGAAAATTTTTGATGTTGTTGGAAGCAAACAGTTTACCTCTCACGTAACAAACATATACTATTGTACACACATCCCATGCTCGAGTAAATGGATACGGTAATTTTTTTTTTAGATAAATTCAGCCACTCGTTTGAATGAGCTATTCAGTGTGGGAGCGAGTTGGCATCGTTTTTATGGACCTCGTGATCTGCAACTTTGTTTTATTTTTTACTGCATACAGGTTTAAAATTGTTTTCAAATGTAAACGATGTGTGCAAAATTGAGTTAAAATTATTGGTAAAGCTTTTTAACGTAACTCGAGACGGTAATCCACCGAAAAATCTTCTGTTTTCTTTTAATGGCTCACCGATCGTTTTATACCATATTATTTGTCATAAAAAAAAAAAAAATACACGCAAGCATGTACGCAAACAACGAAATCTCTCGTGGTACAAGTATAGCTCGAAAATCAAGTCCACAATTTGTCTCGTAATATACATTGACAACGTGTAAAAACTCCCTTAATTCAGCGATGCAATAACAAGAGATAATGGGAAGATACAACACCAGACACGGGCACAAGAAACAAATTTCGAGCCTTTACGACTGGAGTTTCCCCGAGAATGATTACGCGCAATTAGCATGAAAGAGATGGACGTGGGTAGGTATGTATAAAGATGCAACAAACGTGTGCGGTAACTCCGAGCGCAAAGTAACAATTATCAGCGGAAACGGGAAGTGACGGAAGATATACACTCGCGGGGGGGGGGGGGGGGGGGGGGGGGGAAAAAAAAGAGGAGATTCGGCAAAATTGTCTTGACGCAACGACGCGAGTCTTGAGTATACACACATACACCATATATAATTAATAGGGATATTATTAATGATAGAACTACAAAGTTACAAGTTCCCCCGAACATTCAAGAATATTGTATTGAAAGCGATTACATGTGTTTCAGACTAATTTTTTTTTTTTTTTTTGACAGAAAAAGAATAAAATTATTAAGTNGTCAGGGGGGGGGTGAGGTGGAGGGACAAAAAAAAGAGGAGATTCGGCAAAATTGTCTTGACGCAACGACGCGAGTCTTGAGTATACACACATACACACCAGAGGAGAAGAAGAGAAGCTGGCGTGTACGACTCTTCGCCCTCGTCGCACCGCCACCGGGCATACACGTGTGCGTGGAGGGTTACTTATTATTCTTCCCTCGATGGGGGGGGGGTCACTTTTTATCCCCTCGGCTTCCGTTCACTTTGCGGGCGAAGCAACAATTCAATGGAAACCGGGTCTAACCGGGTGGAATACGTTACGTTTGGTTCCCCGCAACTGCGTTCTACGCGTAATATCTAGGCCCAACCGCACTTTACACCGATCCAGGTAACTGCAGTGCACCAGTCCTATATACCTCTCACATCATATTACATTATCTTGGTCATGCTCGTAAGAATACATTTATACGTGTCTGCAGTCTTATGTATGTTACACCCGATTGCAAGTATATAAGTCAGCAGCGCGACCGGGTGTAATATACTATACGTAATCGTCATCATTTGCTTTACCTATACCTCCTGTCGCCTCGGCACTCGGATCCTTTTCAGAGCCCGTTATACATCGCACCCGTACGTATATACGTGCAGAGCACTATGCATTAAAATTACACTCGACCACGCGTGATACCGATTTACATGTCGATTTTATGCAGCAACGCGTGATGATGAATGACAAGAGTGTCTCGGTGGTTGATATTTACACCCAACAATTATATCGTGGGTCACGACATTTTCGTCATTTCGGATTATGTGTAAGGCGATTATTTCGTTCTTTTTACTAAGCGCGACCGCACTGCAGGAGTGCCTGACACGAAAATTAAAAAAAATGTTGCAGCTATACTAGCCACCGCAAAAAAAAAAAAAAAAAATAAATCGTGTTTCACAGCATCAAAATGTGAATATATATATATACACACGTTTTAGAGTAAAACTGGGCAATAAACTCTTTTTTTAAATTCTACACGCACCCCCGGCAAGCATCGAAACACCTGGCCTCCCGTTATACCATATCGGGTCTAACCGTTTCGAAACAATAAATTGTATTACCCATGTAACTTCGCCACACCTGCAAGTACACAATCATATACGTATATACATACGATAGAATTTACGTTAAAAGTATATACGCCAAGTCGGACACGCGTGGGGTGCGTGCATTTGACCACCTGTACGTGCGTTTCCTAAAAACAAAAAAAGAAAGTGGACGGATGAATCATCGAGGGGCTGGGTGTACACGTATAGCCAGTTTTGGGTTGGGCCAAAGGAGGGAATCGCGCTCCCGTCGCTGATACTTTTGTACACGTAGTAGGGTGTGTCTACATGTATTACAAGTGCGTTGGAGAAGGGAGGAAAAACGAAATCGAGGGCTCGGACGGACATGGCCAGGTATTGAAATTAGGGGGTATTGTGAAAGGGGGTTGTTTTTTTACACTGTTGTTCTGTTGTATGTTTCACTGTCTATCGCGTTCGGGCACTTGCGATCTCGCCTCGTCGGCATACATAATCGACCGATTTTTCAGCAAGTATATTGTACGACTGTCGAGCTTCGAATCTATACATTCGGAATATCCCTCGTGTGTTAAAAAAAAAGCCACCCCCCCAAAGCTCCCAAGATCCGTACATGCATCCCTATATGGAGAAAATTCCTTCGATCAAACGAAATCGCGTTACCGATTTTGAAATCTCACGCTGTTGGGACGATTCGGTGGTTCATTTAAACGACTTTTGAAATGGGTTTAAAAAATTTTCGTTTTATTCGACCCTTGGCTTGGAAAGAAACCGCGATCGCTCGCAACAATTTTACACCTTTTGAGGTGTATAGGAGGGTAGCTCAGATGGTTTAGGAACGCGTGTCCATCAACAGATGTATAATAAAACACCCATAACGCGAGTAGTGTAGGTATACGTGCGTGCCCACCCACACAACGCACATCATCACGAGTGACATATACATCTAGGAAAGGTAGGTGGGTGGGAGTAGCGGAGGGGTAACAAGGAACAGGTGGAAGGGAGCGTGAAGAAAGATCGGTAGGCGAGGGGCGGGTGGGGGCGAAGAGGCGCGGAGGAGAAGTTCCACTATGTATACATATATATATACACGTGTATGTCCTGTAGGTGTACGCAGATGGAGCCGTTGTTGGAGTAGAAGCAAGCACGGCTAACGCCTATATACCGTATACAGCACACGCTACACCAGCTCGGCCAGCTAACCAGTCAACCTGCGACGCTGCGCTCGGACGATCGGTTGTTTCCTCGCGAACACAACAACATAACACACGTATATGCGTATCGCACAGTCACCGAGAGAGCCTCGGCTGCCGATGAGCCGAAGCTGAAACGATCCTCGTCTCACTTTCTTTCCTTTTTTTTTTGTTTCCCCCCTTTGGTTTTTACACGCTCGTTCGTGCGTTAGTTCCTTGGTTCGTGTCCCCCTCGATGGCTGTATGGTCGTTTCGCGTCGGCCGGTATCGGTAATCGACAACGACGAGGAGGCGATCGCGACCGTTGTGCTGTCCACGTCGTCCAAACGGTTCGCGGTTTTCGGTCGGTTCCCGTGTATAGCAAATGAGGAGCCGCGCCGCTGTGACAACGTGATTTGTATACAATAACCAACTGCAGGTGTGCACAGTTGTAACTTTTTGGAGGCGAGTGTGACGGTAGGGTTGATACGCGAAAGGGGGCACAATGGGCATGGAGAAGGAGGCGAGGAAGCCGTCGGGCAAGGACTTCAAGACGCTCGAGTTCAAAAGGCCCGTCAAGTTGACCAAAAAACAGGCGTTCAAGCTGTTCATCTGGAATCCGGAGACCAATGCCTTCTGCGGCAGGACCGCCGGTAGCTGGGGTACGTATATTACACGACATGCGTGCTTTAATCCTTCTGGATCGAAAAAACCTTAACGTAAACGTTACCGATCTTACGGCCACTAGGGAGCTCTTGTGTGATCGTTATCGGTACTATATAATTTTTCCATCGATGAGACAAAAAAAAAAAAAAAACTTTGCATTCTTCGTTTCGCGCAACGTGTAAGCGTACACATACGTGAGTAACACGGCGAGGCTCGGAGTGGGGAAAGGGCGCTGTCCTCTCTTTCTCTCGGAGCGTCCGACTCTGATGGCTACTTCGCGCGTTGTGTGTATACACAAGTCCACCGTGTAAGCGTTACCCATAATATAATACACACACTCGTGCAGGACTGGCGCTTGTATAGTATACTTATTATTTGAGCTGAACGACCACTGAGCCGATTTTTAAATTAAACATGCCAGTGTAACACCTTACGTAGATCTACAAGATCGTCGACCGATTTTTCCCGATTTACCGATCACCGGTGTACCTATATACTTATCGATGCGCTTATGGGGTCTGTCAAACAGCATTTTGAAACAGACCCACTTGTCGTGACTACGAGTATTATTTACGATTTTACTAGTGGAGAATAGCCTAAAGATCGTAAGCGCGTGTAATCCCGCGTTGACTCATAAGATTTAGCGATGTTGACGATATTGTACGTCAAATACATGTGTATGTAGCATTAATATACTTATAAGCCAGTGCATGTACGCTTAATTGTATGGTAAACATTTTTATGGTGTACATAATATACACACAAAAATATAATATACCGTGTATTTATGGCACGCGTAGAGGAAATCGTTAGGTTATAGAGGAGGTATCCGTGGACACGCAGGAGGGGAAGGACTCAGGGCCGTACACGGGGACCACGGCTCACCGATCAACTTTCATAAAGCAGAATCTCTTGTTTATTTTACTTTGGGAGGGGGGGGGGAACTCGCAGCGTTTAATATTTTACCAACATCCTTTTTTTTTGTTAACCATGAACTAGATCGTAGGAATTGTTTTTTTTTTTTTTTTTTATTTCCGCGCGGATTAAAGCGTGTGTACACGCCAGAGTTAGTCGTGACTCTTTTCNAAAATGCGCGCACACATTGTTTTTTTTTTTTTTTTTTAGCGATATCGATCTGCAGGTCGTATTATGTTTATTGAGGAATGTTTCGCAAACACAAATAATTGCATTGTAATAGAGCAGCGTGTTTTGCATTGCGATGCGAAATCGTGCCGATCTTGCAAATGATTGGCTAAAGTGGCACTCGTTGGTGGTTTATTATTATTATTTTTTTATTTATTCAAGCACCAGGTGTGCGAATAATTGGCAGATAGCACGAATCGAAGTTTCTTCAAATGCAGAAGAAAAAAATGAGTTCACGCGTATGTAGTAAATGATGTACCATCGAACAATGTAAATGATGTGGGTCATTTTGTACGTACGTACCTATACGCGTTTACCCGGGAGGTTTTGAAGCTGCGTGTATATATGTGGGTGCGGTCCCATAAAACTAAGGCTGCGTTTACATGGTGTCTCAAACTCGTCAAATTAGCGACTTAAATGTTGACTCGAGACGTGACAAATTTTAAATATTGTATGGGCATCCAAAAGACAAATAACGCTGTATGTTTTTTATTCTCTAAAACTTGGTTTCAAGGTGGACGGAATTCTTTGTTTCATTCGAATCGATTTGAATTTTCGCTTTTACTTATATAATATGGGAAAAGGTAAAGGAAAAAAAAATATATTTGCAAAGTTTATCTTTTGAAATGAATTTTTATGTACCAGAAAGACAGTGTACTATGTGTTTTGAGCCGTAAAACTCTTCATAGTTGTAATTTTGACTCGTCACCGTCGAGCAGAGGTGATTCATTGTCTCGACGTTCAAGAGAGAGTGTTTTACGCAGCTATACAATGTATATGAGTATATCTACAAAAAATTTCCTACCCTCAATTTGTTCCCCGTTTTTTTATAGAAATTTTTTTTAGGCACATTGCACCTTCGAGACGGGACTCTATTTGTTCCCAATTTCATGTACTATGTGGAAATATTCGTTAACACGAGTTTTAGTTAAGTTGACAATTTTTTCAACTTTTAATGCAATTCTTATACTTGTCTGTATGAAAACCGCACAGAAACTTTTCTTGTAAATTATAGAAAAACGTTGTCACCTCGATTGAAACTCGTGATGACGCTTTTTCGCACAAAGTATATAACATTGCTAGCAAAATAAGACCAACCTCGAGGGAGTGACAAAAAAAAAATTTTTTTTTTTCCATGCCGGAGGATAATTTTGGTTGTTTTTTTTGTGGATTTATTCATATATGTACGCAGCTGCTTCTGTACGTATATCTTTGGTGCGTCGCGGAAACAAAACATAACGATATTACACTCGTGCCACGGCACGTGTGTGCCGTTGTATTAATTTATTTCGAACTGTTGAAATAATAAAACGTGGACGAAAGGAAGAAGAGGGGAATTGGAAAAATACGATGAGAAAGTGGAGCGAAACTGGTGAATCGGATTAATTAGGGTTGCTCAGTTGTTTTTTTTTTTTTTGTTTTTTTTTTTTTTACCATTTGGGCGTAGATACCTACTGTAATGAGTGCCCATTCGTCGATTTTGAATTCAATGCGTTTCTGCGATAGTATTTACAATCGAATTCGTCTAACTTTTTTTGGTTTTTTTTTTTTTCTTTTGTAATAAAATTTTCACCACATATGGCAGATAACGCCACGTGCGTAATTTCATCCAGAGACCAACAAAACCGATCAGTGAGCTTTTACAAAAAAAAGAGAAGAGAACGACTGATACATTCGTTACCAGAGCAAAAAGCTTAATTGCATGACAAATGAATTAAAAAAAAAATAATATAGTGTAAAAATATTGTCAAGACAATTTACAAATGATTTTTTAAACATCCGCAACTTTTTACCGATAATTTCGCTATAATTGGACAATTTATTTTGTTACGGGGCCCAAAAAAAAAACTATATTTTCCTACCTCGGATGTTTTTGAGGATCGGGTGCGCTTTCGGTAGAAAAAACAGTGTTCGTCACATAAGTGCCATCCATCCGAGACTACCTAACAGTCCCTCGGGCCGGAGAATAGCCCCGGAAGCGATGGCACTTTCGTAGCGAAAAGTGCCATTTCAGCGTCTTAATAATTTTTAGATCTAGAGTCTTCTGAGACAAAAATGTACGGAAAAAAATAAAAATCTCTCATGTAAGACGCTAATTTGGTGCGGAAAAGCAGACAAAATTATTTATATATATAACTATTTTATATTTTACAAACGGACACAATATTTGATTTTGTCTTAAAATTTTAATTTGCTCAAACGATTACACTTTTTTTTCCATGGTACAAATATCTACTGTAATACCATAAACAACACCTTCCTCCTGTAGGGACTGTTGAATTTTCAAAAAAATCCTCGTCTTGTTTACCTTAAGCGCTAGTCAAGTATGAACAACAAATTAAAACTTACGTAATCTGTTAACGAACTAAAGACAAATAAATTGATGTACACGTAAAAATCGTTGTATTAAAATTGTAGCCACCCTGAAAAATAGCAGCCACGACAGTGAGGAAATAGACACAGATCCGACGAATTTCAAGTGGCCTTGTGGTAGATTCATAGCACAACGGATCGCTACGTCCATACGTATATACATCTATACACTCGTCGTGGATCAGATTTACCGTGCCATCACATAATAGTTATACGTGACATTTATCACACGTAGAGACGCGCATACTTACATGTAAATGTACAGACGCGTTGCACAAGAGAAGCGGGACAATTTTAAATTTCATCGAAAGGCCAATCTTCTTGCCGCGGGTACGTATTACACGTCGCGCCGCAATTTCAGCGCCCGCGTAACACAGGTATAGGTAGGATCGCGCCGGAGGAGCGCCGCCGAGGAGAGACCCTCGCCGTCCAAACTGATAGGATAATTGGAAAATCGCTTCTAAATCGTAATTAACCCTCTCTCTCTCTCTCTCTCTTTTTGACGTCACGGCCTTTGTCCATCAAGCTCCGGAGGCTCTCGTACGCGATACACCGCGACAGCGCGGAAAATATTCAAGATCACGGCTCGCGCCGCGCGTACATTTCGCACCAAGATTGTTTTCACCCCATGGGTTAACCGGTTAACACCGAGGGGTGGCATCGGTGATTTGCCGATTTTTCTACATCAGTGCTTGTCATGGGATTTTGACCATTTTTTAATCGCAAAAGGTTGCCGGGCAGGACGACGAGAGGCTCGATCGGCAGCCTTGAAGCAGAGGATTCACTCATGACAATGTAACGCAAGTTATTGCGGTTGGCATGACAAAGGTGGGCGAGAGAAAAAAAAAATCGAGTCCCCCGGCCGTGCTTGGACAAAAGATCGCGAGCAAAGGCCGAACCGTCAATGGAGGGTACCCGTCCGAAGGGTATATAATAAAAGAGGCGGAAGTGCAAAGCCGCACGCGCCTCGATGTGCGTTATACGTATTGTTGGTGTATACACTTTGCTAAACAGTTTTGCTGGTTTGCCTCGTATATACATACACCTTTCATGTGTACCCGTACTCTCGCATATTTTTTTTCTTTCCTACAAGCGCGCAACCCCCGAAAACGATGATACGGTATATATGTGGGTTACGCGGGTCAGGGAATCGTGTCAAGCTTTCTTGGTCCATGTAGGTACACATGCATGGCATTTGCTTGTATGTATATTATCAGAGATGAATATGGTGTAATATATTTTATAAGTGCGGGCGGTCGCGCTTGTTGCGTTTCATTCGTTTGGTTGTATATATAGGTATGTGTGTATATGGACGACGATGGCGCGAACGTGTGCCGCAACGAGGTCAATTGACATTAAACGAGAAGAGGAGGACGGACAGGGGAGAGAAAAAGGGGCAGTTTTGATGTGCATTGCGTAACCCGTAGGGCCAAATGAGTTTAGGGTGTACGCGTGTATTGGTGAACGAGGGGCATGCATTTTACTGTTTTCGATGTTTTTCATCCTGAGGTGTGGCGCATGTATCGGTACAATTTTTCGGCAAAAAATGCGTTAGGATGACATTGGAGAGAAAAATGTTAAATACAAAAAAAAAAAAAAAAACAACGAGAAAGAATTCACAATGTTACTGTGGTTTTGTGGGCTTAACGATTCCTTGTGCAATGCCGATTTCTGCATGCGATCGGCAATATGAGGTGCTTTTGATGTTTCCGTTCCCTTTTTTACCCAGTAGAGGATTACAATACAAAAGAAATGTATGTTTCTTCAAGTCTTGGAACTTTGAATTTAACGTTTAACCGTAGAATCACAATTCGTTTTTGTTGTAAATGCAATTTTAGTACTTTTGGGATGGTGAAGCTTTTGGGATATTAAAAACAAAGCCATTCACTAAACTGTAGCCCAAAGGGATATAAACTATATTTGATGTCGATTTAGAATACACTTATTGTTTGCCCATAATTTATTCACAGTCCAAAAAAGGGATTTTACATTTTTGCTCTGGCTAACCATATGAAATAGTCGTGCTAAAAAATGCCTTGTAATATGTAACTGATGTTATTTTTCCTTCGTTTGGTATACTTGAATCTCAACGCAACCAAGAAAAAATGATACCGATTGTCAATGTCGTATAATGATAATGCAGCATACGTCGCATTAGAGCGACCGTAACAAATATACGTGTGTGTGTATATGTTGATGAAACACAATATTTAACGATCTATAAAAAATTAAGTTTTTCATAGATCATATGACGCTGTGATCGAATAATTTCCTCTTGATCTGCGATTCTGTACGTGCGGTGCAATTTTCCAATAAAATAAATCGGTTGTTTGGTACGTCGTTTGCTTTGAAGAAGAAATGATTGCAATTTGATTGCAATGACATTTAAAGAAAAAATAGCTGATTGCTTTGTCCTTTTTTTCGTGTACTTATCGTGATTTTAGAGGATGAAAAACCCACGAAATCTCCGGGACGTTGATTCGATTAGCCTTACAGATCTCCCTTTTGTCACGTCTCATAAAAAAAAATCGCTTTTGTGATTTACTCCCAATTCCCGACAAGTGCGTCAATTTAATAATCATCAAAACCGATGAATTCAAATCTCTCTGTCTCGCAGCCTCTGGTGTATTTTCATTTAATCTTCTCGGAGATGAGGTTGTTTTTATACGCAAGTGGTTATTGAATTACTCGAGTGAGCGCATAGATTTTCCAAGTGCTAACACATTACCACGTAACACTTGATTTATCCGTATTATGTACGCGCAGACTTGGATTATTTATTTGTTTTTTTTTTTTTTTTTTTTTTTTTTTTTTTATTCCAGTGCTTAATATTTCAAAGTATTTTAATAAATATACTGTGACACAACTTTCGTAAGCAAAGTTTGGCAATCATTCATATACAAGTATACTCAGTCATGAAAAAAACCTTCTGTGATTTTAACAAATAATGTCGAAAAAGAATTTGCACCCTATCCATCATTTCTATGCGCAGTGGATGTTACGTTAAAAACCCCTGAACAAGATTAGAACAAAGTGCTAATGATCGGTAAAACGAAGAAGGAACTTAATATTTGTCTGCTTAAAAATCGGTTGCACCTCCGTAACCGAAGGAAAGACTCTTTTGAGCCGTCGGTGAAAACAACAGTAATGTAAGACGACCTCGCAAAATTGAATCAGGGGGTCGGCACAAATTGAATTGCTCCACTTGACCGATCCTTTTCGCTTGTTTGTAACGCCGACACTCGAAACTGGAAAATACGAGAAATCCCGTGTTATATGCACACGGAACGCACGGATCGCTCGATATTTTATTATTATTTTTCTTTCCCCCAGCGATACGAACCGATTAATACCCTGATTCTCCATTGCAGGAAGGATCGGCCTGTTTTACATGATATTTTACGGAGTCCTAGCTGCTCTGGTCGCCATTTGCTTCTGCGCGTTCTTACAGACCATCGACGTGAGGAGACCGAGGTGGCAGCTCGAAAAATCGCTCATAGGCACGAATCCAGGTGAGCCGATAAATTTCCTTCGTTTAAAATAAAACACCCAACGATGAATTATCAATTGATTGATCAATTGGCCGTCTTGTGAATTGTTATTTTCTTGATGTTGGATATACACGTGTGTGCAAAGTACCCTTAGCATTCGGTGTAATTTCAAAATAAAATTAAGCAATTAGAAGAGAGGGGGAAAAAAAAAAGAAATTGCTAATGGAATTGAGCACAGTATAGAATGAAGATTAGGGTCGGCGTACGAATGGAGAGAATTACGTGTACATACATGTATATGCAACATGTGTGTGTATAATCACGTTTACGCGAATTAATTTGTTTGTTGCGTCTAACTGATTGTATTGTTGTTCAAGGCCTGGGATTTAGACCTCTGCCGCCAGCGGTCAACGTCGAGAGCACCCTCATCTGGTACAAGGGAACCGACAAGGGTAACTACCAGTACTGGGTCAGCGCGCTCGAGGATTTCCTGCGAAGTACGTATACATCCTTGTACATGCATATTATTTGAAAAAAATAAAATAATAATAATAATAATTTTTTTGTTTTGTTTCCGATACCTACGTTTTTTTTCTCTCCATCCAGAGTATCGTCGTCCCGGTCAGAATCCCGGAAGCGGTGCCAACATCCACACCTGCGATTACAACCATCCTCCGGGGCCTGGACAGGTCTGTTCGGTCGATGCGAGAGAATTCGCACCCTGCACCTTCGAAAACCACTACGGTTACCACAAATCCTCGCCCTGCATATTCCTCAAGCTGAACAAGGTAAGAACTTTTTTCATCATTTTATTTCATTTGCGAACTTTAAGGTGGCCTATTACCAATACATATTATAGTTATTTTTAATGTAGTAATGTGTGCGACTGTCATATAAATACGACTTTTTGCTGCAAATCTAGAAGATGGTCGATTTGTAGGTAAAGATTTAGTTAAAGTAGTAATCTGTCAGAAGGAATAGTGTTGATTTTTCATGTACACGAAACATCGATGATTGAACAATGAAAAAATACATACCACGCACATTGTACGTTCGACCAGTCGCACGCATCGATATATTAAAATGATCATGTGTTATTCATGGCCTTAAACCACTTGTGCCATGAACGTAGAAAAAATTAACCAGTACAGAGAGTACAAATGTATCCGTTCGATTCGATTGTTGTGACGCTTTGGCAGATATTTGGCTGGAGACCCGAGTACTACAACGATTCGTCGGCGCTGCCCGAAAAGATGCCCAACAAACTGAAGACCCACATAAGAAGGATAGAGGATCCGCGGATGCGCAACAACATTTGGGTGTCGTGCGAGGGTGAAAATCCCGCGGATCAGGAGAACATCGGCCCCATCAACCTTTACCCGAGGATGGGCTTCCCGGGCTACTATTACCCGTTCGAGAACAGCGAGGGATACCTGAGCCCCCTCGTGGCCGTGCACTTTGAGAGACCAGCCAGTAAGAATAGATTCCCTCTTCGCGCGCATCACCACTAGTGTATACAATTGGACTAAATGTTGTTTTTTTTTCCTCAGCTGGAGTCCTCATAAACGTCGAGTGCAAGGCTTGGGCAAAGAACATCATACACAATCGTAACGAGAGGCAAGGCTCGGTGCACTTTGAGCTTCTCATCGACTAATCCGTTTACACCCACCAGGAGTACGAGATAAAAGCACATCTCCTGTCATCCCTCAGCGACACTGGGCTCTTTGCGTCACGGCGGAGCAGTGTTTCATCCATACACCGTTGCACCCAACGAGCCTCGACGTCTTCGTTGCGAGCGTATTACACAATTATACGTTATTCCTCATTGTGACCGTTGCATCGCCATCGGCAACAGCTTTTCGCGCTTCGATTTTTCAAACTCACGCGCCAAAGTAATACCAAACGATACACGTTCATGTGCAGGGCCCGAAGCAGTTGCCTCTTGTCTTTGGTGAAGGTATCGAAGGATCGCCCGTACAAAAAGTACATATAACAAGTGAACGACCTTCCACCACACGCGTAAATTCATGTATCGTGATTAACAAACGTTGCGCTGAAGTTGAGTGAGTCGTCGGTCACTATATTTATCGACAAATAGTTAAAGTGATGATGAGAGAGAGTATTACAATAATTCATACAATGTTAGCGACGTGTACATTTTATTGAAAAAGACAACGCGTATAATAGGTTGCGTATAGACGCGTACACGTGTAGTAAGGTTTGATCGTAGATTATACACATATTATTAAACGTCATATCTATATTACCACATATAGGTTATTTCTCGACGAAGGGGAAAAAAAACAAATAGTAAAGGAGGAGCTACAATCTCAGCGTAGAATTTTTAGCGTGTTATACTATGTATATGTTCGTCTTGTTTCAATTGTGAGCGCATGTTAATTTTGTAAAGGACTATAATATTAATGTTACAGTGCTGATGTACGCGTGCAATGGGTGCGGTATTGGTCAGTCTGGTGTTTTTAAGAGCATTTGTATTTTCAGACAAATATAGTTTACTCAAAGTACATTTTAGAAAAAAACAGAAAGTTTGGTTTTGCGATTGCATACACATCCGAAATACTGCTGCCATTTTCAAATAAAAGTTTCGTTTTCACGTATATTTTGAAATACAAATGCATTTGAAAATACTTGACCCTTCCGTGGATGTAAACGTTGAAGCATATTGGTCACCATTTTCAGTTAGTTTCAAACTAGAAAGTCAATCATTAATTTTTTTAAGCGTATGTTTCGTCTTAGTCTTTATTTTGCAACTTGAGAGTCCAATGAACGTAAATATAGTTGTTAACAATTTTTCGTCGAAGATAGAAAAAAAAAAAAAAAGGAAAGATGTTTGCTGTCAATAAATAATTAATGTAATTAATGTATTACGATCACAAAGAGAATATTATTTACATTTGTTAATTTTTTTTTTTTAGTTCTTTTTTCGTGTTGTATGTTCTCAGAATTGGAGATTTTTATACAAAAATTTTTTTTTTTTTAATAAACTTTTTGAAAACGTTTTTTACGTAATTTTTAAAAAATTTGTAGTCCAATTTTTAAGATAAAAAAAATAATGATAATTACAGTGTACGAATGAAAACTTATTAGATTAGAATTTGATGTGAGTGTGGAAACATGATGATTATATTATTAATTCACCGACGAAGTTCAGCTCAAAGTTTGGCTTCTCTGTGATGNTTGGTTATAATAAACTTATATAAAATTAATATTATTATTATTATTAATTTAAATTTTATTTTATTATATTTACCCTATCTTTACCAGCTTCTCCAAATCTAAGTATGTAATCTTTAAGGTCCTGCTTCATGCTTTGTGGTAGATCCTTAGGATTATTGTAAAAAATCGGCTTCCAGTCCATTATCTGCAATTCAATACATCGATAGTATCCTATTAAATAGTTATTATGGATTTTACACGGTAATAACTTAAATATTAATATTTTAGCACCGATTAACATACGAAGTTATTACGAAGAAGAACCACTTTTTTTCTCATTGATACAAAATCATCTAAAATTATTCTGAAAAATGTATTAAATAATTACTACAATTATAAATAATTGTACGACCATAAATTGAGGCATAAGTGCCAAAACAGCCAAATTGTACGTAAAATTACTCAACAATACCCAACAAATTATTCAAAAGATACTGATCTCATGTATAAATACTATATGTTATTTTGGACGTTTGCTGAGTCCTTGATAGAAAAAAATATCATTTGTTACACTGATGTATACGAATAATGTACACCAATAACAAAATCTACTATTTGTATTAAGTACTTATTCTTATTTTTGTAAAAAAAAAAAAAAAAAAAAAAACACTCTAAGCTCCGGATCGTTGTCGTCAGGGTCAAATTTATGTCCAAAGGAACGGGTGAAAAAAAAAAAAAAATTCTCTAGTCGATAAAAGTCGAAACGAAGCATTTGGTGTATTAATTATAGAAATCTGAATATACACGTATATTTGTACGTATTTACAAAATTGTTCAAATATTTCATAGCATTATTTTAAAGTGTTTATTAAACAAAAAAACAATGTAAATTTAAGGATTTCACGAAAAAATCATAAGTCATGTGGCTTTCATGAATAAAAGCTCCATGTTTTTGTTAAGAATCCGTATTAGATATCTTGAACAATTTTTATTAGGTGTAGAAACGTGCCTTAGCAGATTTCAAAACGAATGGCTATTTGTACGCACGACATTAAATACTTTCTAACTGATGTATTAAATTTGGCCTCTGAATTTAGTTGATATAAATAAGATTACCCTAATACTAGTGTCATCACGAAAATTAGTGCAACAACAGTACCACTTTTTGACAATTTACTAAATATTGTACATTCAATCGCTACCATTTGTCTTAAAATTATGCTCAAGTCTGAATCAAAACTGCCATTTCTCTAAGTAATCACTGCCGTTTAAATGATTGCTTATGTAATTATTAAAACCGTTAACAAAAATGAGGTTTGTCTATACATAATGGTCATGCTGAATATTCGAAATCGTAGAATGAAAAATTAAACATTTTATGAAATCAGGTGAAATGTCTTTTGAATAAATGAAAAATAAAACGTAGTCAATCAACATTCCAACAAAGTTAAATAAGAATGTACAAAATTAAATGGCTTTTTTAATGACAAATATTTCTTTTTATTGCTCCAAATAACACTTATAAGGAAAATTTGTAAACCATAAGAATTTTAATTCACTCATCTATAAAATATTGACTCAGAATTGTTATGTAATGAGTACAATATGATTAACTTCGTTAGTTCTTATCAATACAAAGAAAATACTTCTATCTATTTACCAATCTAAGAAGTGATTATTAAAATTGTTGCAATAAATTAATGTTACACACTAGAAAAATGAAACTTTTAACTTCATTGTAAAATATGCGCTAACCCAAATTCTTAAACACAATATAGGCTTGTGATAGTAGGATTTAAAAATGTAATAAATAAATAAATATATAACTCAAGTAGCACAAGCTACGAGAATGTTTGAGAAGATGACAAAACCTCGGGGACCGTGTTACTATTCACTTAAGTAACAAATACTTGAATTTTCAGATAGCAAGTAACTCCTTTTTTCCACGTGTCTATACTATTTTATTTTATTGTATTACACATCTTTAATACTAAATTAAAGATTCACCGCAAAAAATCAGCGAAAAGTAATTGTATTGTATTAATTTTAAAAATGCTAAAATCAAGATTGCTTCTACTTTAGCGTTAACAAGTTTCCGAGTGGTCTTACCCTGAAATTAACCACACTAATAATACTACATTCTGTCTGTATCTACTACTATGTGAATAAACGATGTATTAAAACTATCGAAACATTTTTACTATATGAATATTATGGAACACATCAAATAATCGCAGTCTAAGAGACGTATAATCAATTGAGATATTGAAGTTCGTAACATCATACAAGATGAAAATCATTATCAAAATTAATATTAATGTAATTTTCAGAGATATCTCAGTTAAACGAAATTCTCACATAGAAACTTGGTAAAAATAAACAGGAAATCAATATTTTTTATTCCCAAAAAGAATGAATGGTACTTGTTTAAAATTAATACAACAACCGATGCCTAACAATTTAAAATAAAACTACTTTAAATTGAATAAAAAAGTTATGATGAGTATTATTTATCTTCGATAGGTATGTCAATATAAAGTTATAGAAGATATAACTTAATTTTTTTCTGACATTAAAAAATTCTTTTAGGAGGATTCTTGAAATATAATTTATACCTATTGTTTTATTGAAATCACTTCGTTAAAAAATTTCTCTCTAAAATTGGTGTTATTGTGAATTTTTGGCTATTTTAGAGTGTTAAAATGCACACCGTCAGTACGAAAAAAAAAAATAATTTGAATAATGCTTTATCCAAAGTACAAAATTTCAACTAATCATTATTTTATTGACAAAATATCAATCTAATGTAATATTGAGTTTTAACAAATAATTTANAAAAAAAAAAAAAAAAAAAAAAAAAAAAAAAAAAAAAAAAAAAAAAACACTCTAATCTCCACTCTATTGTTTTTAATCTGTAGGTACGCGGTTCTGAAGAAAGTTCCAATAACCTTGTCAGTATCGTGAATATCGTGAAGAAGTTCCCTTAGAGCTAAGAATTCTTGTACGTAGAATCTTATATATTTTATAAATTAAAATAAAATACAACTCACAACATCAGCTAGAGAACACTTTTTTCCAAAAAAATATACTCGACGCTTTTGACAAAACATTCATTCTGCTATAAATATTTATGGTGGAAAGGATGTTCGGGGTGGATGGGCATACAATTTTCAATAGCTCACATACATAATTATCACCTACGAATCCAGCGTAGTCGTTACAATAATAGTTACAATCATGAAGATTACATGAAATGATCTATGATAAAATGTTATCAAGAAACATTATGCATTATTTGGTTGGCATTTGATTTTTACCTAATCAACTAATATCTACGTAACAAAATGATCACATCGGGTATTTTAGATGATTAAAAAATCCATACGATCGTGTAGTTATTAACTTAGAAACCCACTTTGTTGTATGCACGTGTCATTTCGCACGAATTTTAACACGATGTCCTTCTTTCCATTAATACGTTGATTACCTTGATAACTCTTTAAGGGTGTAGAACACGTACAAAAAGCGATTTTCTGACAATATTGATTAAAGTACATTTGTGCAAAACTCAGATCTTTATCGTACACATGAGTACAATCGTAATTTTGTCAGATTTTTTAAATTTACAATTTCACTACAAAATAAACTCGAGCATTTATCGATTAGAGATTTTTTTATCACCCGTAACATTTAAGTTAGATGATGGAGAGACGGACTTGTAGAAATCCAGCGGTCCTGCGTTCAAGCCTTCATCTCCATTTTATCATACAATACGTGTAAACCAAGTTTAAGAGTTTTAAGCTCCGTATACTTACAATGGTGATGGTGCAAGAAAGTACAATGACCATTGGAATTACTTCACAAACAAATTTAACTATTCAAAAGCATCCGTATCTGAAAGTACATATTTTTTAAGAAAAAAAAACGATTTATCTATTTATTTATAAACGCAATTTATATTCCAAAAAAATATGTAAGTAGACACAAACAAAAAACGTCACTGATTCGGAAAATTCAAGAGAACCGAAATATTTAAAAATATTTTTATGACCGCAAGAGTTTCAATCATTAATACAATAATTTTCTTTATAAGATTTTAAAAACTAGTTTTCCAAATAAATATAATCTAACATAAATCCGGCAATAGAGACATTTTTTTTGAAAGTTGATTTCCAAAAAAAAATGCAAGAAATGAAATTGCTCAAAAACCATATCAAAGTTTATTAATGTACTCGAGCATATATTAAAATGATAAGTCCAACATTCGCATGTATGAAAATAGAAATTTTCCATGGGTGCAAAAAAGGTATGAAAACTATTGGATCGTTGTCGTCAGGGTCAAATTTATGTCCAAAGGAACGGGTGAAAAAAAAAAAAAAATTCTCTAGTCGATAAAAGTCGAAACGAAGCATTTGCAAAAATTTCCTTAGGATCTACTTATATACAAACATGATAAAACACATACAATTACATGTACACTTGTGCAATAGAAATATCACAAAAATACGTTTTTCACATTACAAAATTATTATTTTTTTTTTTCTTACAAATGCTCAAAAATCCAATGAATTGACGTTTAACATCGTTGCAGGACGCCACCTAATATCTCGTTTTACCGTACAGTGACACTGATTATCATACTGTACTCAAAAATGAATTTTCAGTAAAAAATTTCGCCAAATTGACGCAGTTGGTAAGACAAAAGGACAATATCAAAGATATATATGTATATATATATATATATATGTATAAATAAACACGGGTGTCAGCAATCAATGCCGTTGTTGTGTTTATTCGATGGTAGCTGACGAAAGTGTGTGCATAGGCACTGAAGCAAAAGTGGACACTTGTTTATTTTATTCTTCAACCGTAGGATCTGTGACAGTATTAATTGCTGTTATTCCTTTATCAGCAGCTCGAAATGAACCGAACCGACCTTCTCTCCCCGGTGCGAGGAGTATTTAATGTTTTTAGCCCAAGCCTTGCACTCGACGTTAATAGTCACGTTTACTGAAAGCCAAAACATATATAAATATGTACAGATATTTTGGAAGTCAAGTACAATTATAATTAAAAAAAAAAAAAAAATTAATTCAGTTTAATATAATTATTAAATACTGATGATTAGGTAAATTAGATGATTTACTTTTAGGTCGCGTGAATCGAACAGCTACGACTGGACTTAGGTAATCTGGCGCATTTTCGTACGGGTAGTAGTAACCGGGGAAGCCTTGGTAGGGGTAATACTCCAGACGGCCCATATTTGAAATGTCGGTCGGACTTTCACCGTTGCACGACACCCAGATGGTATTTAACTGTGAATTTTAATTAAAAGTTAGTTTAGTTAATAAAAATTTATATTAAAAGTAAGGCTGAAGATAACGATGGTTTGGTTATAATAAACTTATATAAAATTAATATTATTATTATTATTAATTTAAATTTTATTTTATTATATTTACCCTATCTTTACCAGCTTCTCCAAATCTAAGTATGTAATCTTTAAGGTCCTGCTTCATGCTTTGTGGTAGATCCTTAGGATTATTGTAAAAAATCGGCTTCCAGTCCATTATCTGCAATTCAATACATCGATAGTATCCTATTAAATAGTTATTATGGATTTTACACGGTAATAACTTAAATATTAATATTTTAGCACCGATTAACATACGAAGTTATTACGAAGAAGAACCACTTTTTTTCTCATTGATACAAAATCATCTAAAATTATTCTGAAAAATGTATTAAATAATTACTACAATTATAAATAATTGTACGACCATAAATTGAGGCATAAGTGCCAAAACAGCCAAATTGTACGTAAAATTACTCAACAATACCCAACAAATTATTCAAAAGATACTGATCTCATGTATAAATACTATATGTTATTTTGGACGTTTGCTGAGTCCTTGATAGAAAAAAATATCATTTGTTACACTGATGTATACGAATAATGTACACCAATAACAAAATCTACTATTTGTATTAAGTACTTATTCTTATTTTTGTAAAAAAAAAAAAAAAAAAAAAAACACTCTAATCTCCACTCTATTGTTTTTAATCTGTAGGTACGCGGTTCTGAAGAAAGTTCCAATAACCTTGTCAGTATCGTGAATATCGTGAAGAAGTTCCCTTAGAGCTAAGAATTTGCCATACGTATACCCTGACCCTGTAGAAACTCTATTACTAGTCAGCGTAATTATTCAGAGAAATTATAAAATATACTTAACCGCAGTTAACAGAACTAAAAGTATAGTGTGATTAGAGCCTCGAGACCAATTAATTCAGCCATAAGCCTCACTAAAATGATGTAGTATCTCCTTAGGATATTGTATCCACATAACTTTTTCACTCACGTACCCACGTCTCAAAAATAGTAAATAATTTTTTTTTTAAATGAGCACATTATGGATGCATGATGGCCCATACATGTGACTTTGAGCTGTGACTGAGCTATCGAGGCTCTTGTTCAGCTAGGACGAGCACGTCAAGTCAACGCTTAAATTATTCTACATTTATTAAAATTATCAGGCAATAACTTGATGAGCTATCAATAATTGGATTTCATCATGTGGAAATACATATATAGTCAAATAAACTCAGGCGAATGTCAAGTGCTGTTAAAAAAAGTTATCGCTAATAAAGTACAATTTTAAATTAAACTTTTGAGGTGGTTTTATACATAGTTATGAAGTGACGAATATAGAAAAGAAAAACAGGAGCCATCGAACTATTCGAAATGAAAGTGGATGTCGATTCTAGAGGGTTGGAAGAGACGATTACCCGTCGAATAGAAAAGGACGGGGAGACAGTCGTATCGATTTTTTTCCTTCGAACGCGCACACAATGTGTACCCAAGTCTCACAAGAGACAGTCCAGAAATAGAACTAACAAGCGTGACGCATGAACAAGACACAATATGTACATGTGTGTGCATGTTCGTATATTTATATTTATTTATTTATTTACCCTGTTTAGTTTGATGAAAACGCAGGGCGAGGAATTTCTGTAGCCGTAGTCCATGGCTTTCGAGCAATTTCCGAGCTTCCTTATGTCGACCTCGCACACCTTGCCGGGTTCCATCGGCCTTGAGTAGTTACAGATCATCTGATTTCGGCCTCCGTTCGGCAGCTTCGTCTTGTCCATGTACACTAAAATTTCGTCGTTTCGATGTTGTTGAGAAAAAATAAAAAAAATAAAAAAATAAATAAATTAAGGTATAAAAAGAAGCAATGATGATTCGTAGGACTTACTTTCGAGAAATTGATCGATACGCGCCGTCCATTCGGCTATGTGCGAATAATTTGACAATGTGTACGAGATTGTGGATCCGTGTTCCAAATTTGGTAGTGGCCTAAAGCCCATACCTGGAAGCAAACAATTGTTTTATTTCATTGGAGACGTGCTTATGGTGACGGGGAAAAGTTTTTGTAACATAGAAAAGATTCTTTTTTTTTTTTTTTTTTTTTTATATATTGTAATACACGAATGTACCACTTGTACGTCTGGACATCCACGAGTATAGTGCACCCACCTGTTTGAATAACCGATGCATTTATACCTATATAGTGTGACGTTTTTTTCCTTTACACTCCCTCTCTTTTTCTTTTTGAGTGATATGTCACGCGCGCTCTGCCATGATAATGATTTTTAAGAGATGAGATGTAAAAAAATTGCCCGTAACATCATTTGCTTGATTTTTCACATATATTATTCTAACAGAAGTCGTGGGTGATAAAAAAAAAAGTTGTATTAATTATGGTATCTGACATTTATTATTATTTAAAGTATAAATGTCTGTTATAAAGATAGAAGGGCTCTTTTCTTGAACTTCAAAGACATGTGAACATTTTAAAAAAAGATAACCGAAATATCTGTTATTAACTAATATTATACAAGAGTTCAAGAAAGTAATGCTGAGATATGGAAAAAAAAGTTGTTGGCGTACATATAATTATAAGGAAACATATCGTCCGATGCATATCTATGCTCTGGCAAATACTATAGAGCGACTAATATTATAGGAAAAACTAGTGGACTCAGTGTTTCCAACATTTTCATTTAACTAATGCCAGTGTTAGATTTACGACATAAAATTATTTTTACTCACTGATCTATACCTATCACTTTATACATGATAAAAAATAACAATTAATATTGAATTTCTAGGTAAAATAAAAATGTTTCAAACAATAAGTATAAGCGATAATTTTTGTTGCAATAAATACGCATTCTCTGGAGTTTATATTATTATAATTCAATCTCGAATAAGGAATTATAATCTTCTTTGGAGTACAGAGAGTAGTTATAGTTTTTGCCAGAATGCAATAATGCGCCGCAGTAATCACCAGAAGGTTTGATTTATCGCACCAGAACCCGAGTCAAAAATAGTCTTCGTAAGCGTATAGACGAATGAGAAGTGTGTCGAGCGCACATATCATTATTTCTTTCGTAAATTGTGGAGTATTTAGTATAAAATGTTTTACTAAAATGTTGAAGAATTTTGTTTTATGGTTAAGGTATATTGGTAGTGGTAATACATAGTAGTTTATCATTGGCCATGAACAATTGCGAAAGAGTGTACAAAAAGTTGTATCGCCTTACCAGGATTAGTTCCGATGATGCTGCTATCCAGGGTATATTTAGGCCTGTTCTCGTCTATCGTGACCATCAATCCCATGTAACAAATAGCGCATAGCACAGCTAAAACGCTGTAGAATACCATGTAAAATACAGTAACGATACCTGAAACACGCAACACGTAAATCGGTAAATGCACAATCACGCCTGTGTGATTTTGTTAAAACTAAAAATGATCTTTAAATTTGATGCAAATTTAATTTAGACTTCACATTTTTCAGTGAATATCCGAGGGCAAAAAAAAATAAGAGAGAGAGAGAGATCACGAGTTGCGTTGACAACTGGATGAGGTGGGTGAAGCTAGAGAGTAAGTAGAAATCTCTCGTACGAAAATACACCGAGAAGCCTATAGGCTTTCTCCGGCCCTTGCTCAGCGTTTTATTAAAGTTACAGTGTTTCTCCACGCAAACGCGAGTTATTTGAAAAATCCATGCAAGAAACCAATAACTCGCGAAGAGGAGAGAAAATTATCTCCGTTTTTCCTTCATCCTGCCTAAGGAATAGCATAGCGGAAGTTAAAATTATACTTTAGGGACAATGATAGCAAACCGGTTTTAATGCTCGGGCTTCTTGGGATTGTCTACGTTCGTGTGCTCGAGATGCGCGCGTTTAACTGGCTAGTTTAATTTATATTGCTTTATATTGCTCGCAAGCGTTATATTATATTTAATGATGTTATTCCACTTTGGATTAACTCAATAAAATTTACTGTTTAGAAGCGGGTTTTTTAATTGAAACAAAAAACTTGATCACATTGCAGATATCAAATAGTTGATAGAGTAAAGTAATTTTTAATTTGGATTTTCCTGAGTCTCGTACTTGATAACACACTGGGTCAAGTGGTTTTTATAAAAAAAAAAATTACTCTAAGGAAATAAAATTCTTTTGAGTAAGTTTTAAAAACATTTTGCCCACTACAAATAACCAAAATTGATCATTTACAATACCAAGACGTCCTTTTGTGAGTACGTATGAGTGTGAATGTTAATTTAAATCTTTAAAATATATTTTGTTATTTTTAATGTTTGAACAATTTTAATTTTTGTTCGTATTTCAGTGAGGGCTGAATCGATTTTTAAGATTGTTGAAAAATCATGTAATCTTTTATGTAGTGATATTTTAACACTAAATTTCAATGTTACAGCACAAGAGGGAATTTCGGGTTTATTTTATAAATCGAAAAAACATTACAAGTATTTTCAACAAAGTTTTCAAAAAACAGTGGGTAATATGAGAGTCTGAGAAAGTCTCAGGCCAATTAATTTTTAGTTACACACGTTCCTCAAGATAAAATACATTTTTATGAAGACATACCTATGGTACAAGCATAGCCCCCTCATTGCTTGAGTTTTAGAGAAACCTTGTATTTATTAGCATCGAAGTCGTAATGCAAGAGTTTACGAAGGCAATATGTTTTTTTTGTAACCAAGAAGCATAACTGAATACAAAAAAGAAGTAGGAGAATGAAATATACTGATTTTTAACTTTACTGCGTAAGAATAAGAGAGAAGGAAGCTTTTTTATTTTTAATGTTTGCCTTTTTTTCTATCGACACTAAAGGAACTTGGATACCGGCTTTTCCCACTGTTCTAATACATACAATTGTAGCAAGCAAGTTTTTTTAATTTCAAGATAGTCACTTGATCGGTCAGCAAATGCGCTTGAAACGACAAAATGTATGTTTCACATTACCACCTTTGATGATAATTATGTGGATGATAAAAATCACAGTCAATATATGATTAATTAAAAAACGAGTTCACTCGATGTCAAAGTCAAAATTTTTGCAGGTTACCATATGGTTGGATTTTGAGTACAAATGATTAAGCATAAGCTTATTGTCTTGTTCCAACTTATTTTACTTTAGTCCTGCAGAGTCGAACACGAAGAGTTGATTTTGTACGCTTACTAAAATATTGATCGCAAACTGGATTTTTCTGGCTTTTCCCAAGGGCTCTTTTAACCTGTCGCAGTCTGTATTTTGGGGTCTTTGAGTTGAATAGATACACGAGGGTGCGTGTACGTATATGTAGCATAAAGACTGTGCTTTATTATGTTTCAAAAAATGCTTTGTATAAATTAATTACTAATTTCATTTTTTACATGTTAATAATATTATTGTTAATTAAATTGGAATATGTTACAACTCATGTAAAATAATAATAATAATTTAGAGGTTCTTATTGGTTTCAAACAATTTTTATCCCTCACAAAAATGACTATAATGATCTGCTAGGTAGGTTAGGGTGTTTGTACAATTTAAAAAAATTATTAAACGTTAATATTCTGTCAATTAATAACCAAATTATGAGTAGGGATATTATCTACCAGTTTATACAATCGAAAGGAATTTTATTTTATCCGTAATAAATCAAAGACGCAGCCAAAGGAAAATCAATAGATAATGATGCATGCGTTTAGTGCCAGAACTTTTGACTATATTTAATAATAATGGTAATAAACAATTGAAGTTATACGTGAACTCTGTTAACATGCATTAACCATTTTTGTTACAGTTATTATGAAAAAAAAAAACAAAAAAAAATTATCAGTCTCTTCTTAATGTTTAAATAACAATTTTTTCTGCATAAAAATGGAAAGAGTGAAATGAAGCTTTTTAAATGTACATGATAGAGTAAAATAAATACTTTAAACAATGTCCACGTATGTACGGTGCATTAAAACTTCTAATTATTTAATTTGATGAGCTAGGAAGGGCATGTCATTTTCAACATAATTTTTTAAAATATTTTCTTATTAAAAAAAATTTGAGTGGCTAAAATGTAAAAAAGTTATTCAAAATTTTTAAAGAATAGGTTTTGTTTTTTATACTATAGTCACGACAAATAACATGTTTTTTTTAACTACTTATGGCTTATATCAACAACTTGTTATAAACTTCAGTTAATATTAATAAGTGATATTCATTTACGTCTCGATGGTACGTTAAATACAAATATTTTTTTATTTTCTTAACATTCATAGACACTAGTTATACAGACGTAAAATTAGTAATTAGTAATTCTACAGATTATGATTGTTTTTAGTTTTGCGTCTGATTAAAATATACTTAATTGGGCTATATATTATAAACGTGATTGTCAGTCAAATTTAATCATAATTTCATCAACTTGTAGAGCTTTATGTCGATTGTATGTAAATTTTTCTTAAAAATGTATCAGAAACATACGTCGTACATCGAGATACGTCTTCAAAAAAAGATTCATCTCTGTTTACAAATGTCATTGGGATATTTTCTGAGTGTGTAATTATGCAATCAGTCCTATCTTCGGATCAGGGATTTCCAAGTCTTATGGTGACCAGTCACGTTACTACTCTGGTTGGCTCTCGCGTGACCGGTCATTATGCTAATTTTGGGATCCCTGCTCCGGATCCCCTCAACCGGTTTAAATGTTTGGGGCATTCAAAAATTTTTCTCTCTCTCCTAGTAAATCAGAGACAACGTTTTTTTTTGCTATTCATTACTTGTTTTGATTTTTTTAATTTCCACACAGAAGTTTGTGAACCATTTATCTTTGGTCAAAAATGTTATCACTCAAAATTTCATCAGATGTTTTTAACAAAAAGTACTTTCATTTTGAAACAATCATAACTCGTTTTATTCATAAGTTTCCCGAAAAAATATTCACTGACTATTTTCCATAGTTTTTTTACTCACTTATAACTTTGAATTTGTTTGCCAATATAAATACATATTAAAAATTTTACTGAGTGATGGTCTAGGAAATTGAGTGTTAACAAATGTGAAAGTTAAAAAAACCAATTAATATAATTTTTTTTTAAAGTTTAGTATCAATAATACGTCAACTTTATAAGTTGCAATTGATATATTTTATAAATTACACAATACAAATATTAAAGTCCAATACAATTTTAAAAACAAGTAAAGGAACGACAAATGCTCTACATACATTATCTTCAATGAAATATCCATATCACGAATACATATAATATTCATCTTATCTGTTGATTGACGAGTTCGTAGCACCGATAAATTATGACTGTTGATCAATGAATTTAATTTTTTCAACTCATTAGCTTAAAATGAAATCGATTTCAAAAATTCGTATTTCATCGACGTAGTCATTAAAAGCTAAGTATATATCAAACTGGTAAATTATAAACAAAGATAAAATTATATCTGATTCAAATGAAATAAGTGTGCAACAGCAGTTGGCAGAGTATCACGCACCGACTTACGTATCATCGATTTTATTGCAATTTGTTTATATTAGTAAAAGCATGAAAACAAGATCATTAACTTTTTTTTATTCATCTAGGTACTCTAACAATTTCTTATCACATCCGGACTAAGAGTTGTTCGAGGGAATGTGATTAACATTGATGAAGTAATAAATTTAAAAAAAAATGATACGTGGAAAAGATTTTTGTGAGGTATGTACTTATATTTTATCATTGAAAAAACGGGCGAGTACTTTTGTTGAAAGCTGGTGTAAAGTAAATTACCCACGTCATGAGTCTTGAAGATACATCGACCTACTACACATGATAAAATTAGTATTAATAAGATCGTACCTAAAAATTAACCTTTTAAATTTTTTATCGAGCTGTATCCTATCATTCATCAAATGATTTTCCGTCATTTAAATTAACCAACTTTTCATGTGGAAATCAATTTATCGATTACTTCCAAGCAATTTTAAGTTCATTATCGCCCGATATAATCGCAAGATCCGAGAGATAACGGTTTGATAGAAAAAGCGTAACTTTGTTCGTTATCTACTTATAAGTGGATTAGAATATACCCTGTAACATACTGTCAGCTTCTAAATAAGTCGACGATAACAAAAGTTAAAAATGCAGAGGTTAAGTGAATCGACACAGATAAAAAAAAAATTATTATTGTTTCATTAACATATCTTGAAAGCGCTTACTAAGCAATTATTTCGTATGCTTATCATCATTGAGAAAAGTCAAAACATTGCTGATAAAAAAATAAATAAAAATAATGCCATAGACGCCGTAAATTAAAAAAAAAAAAAAAATAGAGGCATTTCTCTCTCAACGAGAGGCATAAAAGCAATTAGTGCCGAATGCATCCTATTTTAGATAAGTCGACTGATAGCACAGTGCCAACAGACCGCTTTTATCGCGCAAAGTACGAGGTAGTTGTAGAAACGTCAGAACTTCCTATATTGCGAGCCGTGTAGCTCCCCCCCCCTTCCTCGTACACCTTGGTCCGAAATTAATGCCGAAAAATTTTGCTAAAAACCCAACTCGTTTCGAGACAATAAAAAAAGTATGACAGTATCGACTGCAGAGTCAATGCCCATGATTTTCCAATGTACGCTAAACTAATGAATTTTTCCTTCATAAGTATTATTTTTTTTTTAAAAAACTTTATCCATCGATTTATTACATTGAAAATACATATAAAAAATCACGCATCGGACGAATGTTTGTCATAGCCACCCGTTACACAGTGCAGGCAACCTTGCCTACTCCTCTTTATTCGCCGAGCTTTTTCCGCAACCACCGAGCTAATTTTGGCCGGCACGCGCCCGTCATAATATCATCAAGCGTGCACGGCGCGAGTAACATCGGTGAAAAATATAATCTCGAGTTTTTGCCCGCAATCCACCACCCCGTATATTCCAAATGATGGCAAATAAACAAATGATATATACCTTGTAAAAGAAAAAAAAAATTGTACAAACCTACCCCATTTTTTTTTGTCGCGCCCTAATAAGGTTTTCTCCTCGGGATTGTATATCGCGTTCTTGAACGCCTGCCACTTGGTCCTGGTGTCCGGTCTGCGGCTGCTAACCTCGTACTCGTCCTTCGTCTCTTTCACCGGCGAGCCCATCTCCTCGCAATGTATATATATATATATATATACCCACACTCGTATATATATATATGTGTGTATGTTTTTAATTCAACGCGTTATCGGGAGGGGGTGAGGAAAATTTTGACAATTTTCAACTCATTCAACGAGCCGTGTTCGCATACGGCCTGCAAAATTCAACAAATCGCACGATATACCCCTGCACCACTACTATCTCTTCCAAACAGGTGTGGATGTATATTATTAATGTTATCACTCGGCGCAAGATCGGCGTATCGCTCTAATGCGAGTTTCGTCGGTGAACGCCGAGCGCGTACTGCCTTTGCCGTGCCCGTGCGTATATACTTACGTACACTCGCGGGGAGAGAAGACCGTGCGTAAACGTGTACACGTATATATAATATATCGGAAATCGGGAGCTCGCGTACAAACCTACGTGTATATACATATGTACTTACGCTGTCCGTGTGTGCGTGCGGATAGGTTATTTTTACTTTTGTCAAGTGTGTGTGTGTGTGTGTGTGTGCGCTCACATAAACGTGATATGGGAACCGAAGGGGTACCAGAGGGGAGCGGACGAGTTTCGCTCTCACTCTTGCGAAGGCAAACAAAAACGAAAGCGAGTACTTACGTTATAGATGGATCGGAGCGTGGTTGCCGTGGTGCCGATCGCCGAGTATTTTGATGCGTGTATGTGTGTATTATATACGCCACAGGGTGCAGGGGGGGGGTCTGATAAAGATGAAAAGCTCGCGCTCGAGGGGGTGAGTTTCGTAGGTGTGTTTATTGTGTACGTGTGACCTTGGCTGTACATGTATATTTATTTTGTAGATTGATGGGCGATCGAAATATTCCGTACTTATCGGTGTTGTACATTACGTATGGCGAATGCCGATTTTTAGACTTGCCTCGATTTCGCGAGGGTTGAAAATGTCTCGACGATCCGGTTAGGTAAAAGGTTTTTTTTTTTTTTTTTACTCGCGGCTAAATATACCTCGTCGATCTACAAGACTGTTATTTGTGTATGCATACCGATCACGCGCGCACGACTCAATCGATCTATATATGCCACGCACTTGTGCACTCGCGCGGGTTTTTCATTCGCAGTTAGCGGGGAAATCGGTTTCGGGGACGGGGTTGTTTGATTTTACACGCAAAAAAATCGGTTTTCGAACCGATACCGACCGTACCTACATTTTGGACCAATCCGATTCCCATCGAGAACAGAATCGTGCGAACAAAAAAAAAGGAAAAAAAAAGAAACAATTGATTACACGAGTAACACACTAACAATCGTGAAAGTGTAATGTGATTCGCGCGAACGAGCCCGCCGGCCCGTAATTGAATGATGTACTTTGTTGGAGGAGAGTAAAAAGAAGAAGAAGGAAAAATTGTATCGAGTTGGCGCACACACGCATGTATTAGCACTCGGGACCCCCCAATAACAACAACAACAACAACAACAACAACAACAATGACGATGACAACGAGGAAGAGAGCAAGTACAAGAGAAAGAGAGGCGGAGGAAGCTTCCTTAGCCACATACACGTACTACTATTATGATAAAGACGCGCAAGCGAGTACTTAATTCCGACGATTTATCATGCTATTAATTTATCGCCCCGCAAACTCAACTTTTGTCACACGCGTACTCGGACCGAAGGGTATATACCGTTCGCTGCGCTTCTTTCTCTCATCCTCTCTCGCGTACTCTACACAAGAGGTATATGTGTGTACCCCGATTCATTTGGGTCTCCCACAGTATACCTACCGTATATTAGTACAAATTACCAAATCAAACGCATTAGCGCGGACATGAACATCTCACGTACACCCACGATGTATAACGTAATAATCGCGTAGGGCCCAAAAGAGAGAGAAAGCCTGTGCGGATGAAATCTGATCCGGAGCGATCCGGATGCAAGATGAATTGATTTGAATTTCAAAGGGACAAAGCCACGCAACTCTTCACGCGTGGGTACACGGCCTCGGGTGATGTATACTTGCAGCTTCATTTTTAAACACAAAATAATATGTTCGTACTTACGCGCAGGAAGATATAAAATATAGAGAGAGATATTTAAGTGAAGCAACAGCAGTGTCTCGGTGCGCGATGGCAACGCTGCACTGTATAGCTTTGCAAAACTAGAGAATGAGAGAGAGATTTTGCTCCTTTATCGCCCTGCTCTCGTCTCCCCTTATTTGTATACTTGTTCCAGCTCCGCGAGTAGTTTATCTCGTGCGCCTTACCTTCGATGGGCCTCGCGAGGTGTTTTTGTCTACCTGCTTGGGCCCCCTCTGTGAGTAGATCGGCCGCTACTTCATTCCCTACAGATGCAGCATCATCGCCAGTCCTCCGAAGCCGTTTCGGACGTGACAAAGGGGACATTATGTCCGGGATTATTGCGGTGACCGTCCTCGAGGAAGCGACACCTATAACCGTGTATAACTGCGTCATGGAATTTCATCCGGATGGATGACACTCGCAAAATTTAGATAATGTTTTGTAACAAGTTATACACAAGGATACGTTAAAATGCTTTTGAAAAAACACATTCTTGGTGAGCTTTTTTAAAACACACAGTGCGCACAATGTGATACCCGTAAAAGTGTGTCATCCGCGAAACCCACGGGACTTTTGTTTTATCACCAGAGTTTGTGCGCGTACACAATAGATGGTAGGTGACTCGGCGCTGACGGAGTTAATTTTTTCTTTTTTTTTTTTTCGCTCTCTGATTGCTCTTTTTATTTGCAGCCGGATGATTTTTTTTTCCCCCTGCAGCTTCGCTATCCGGATTATACCGGGTCGTCGTGGTAATGCGGTGTAATGAACACCCAAGCGCGCGACAATGACCGTTAGATCGAATAACTGAATCCGATTCGTTTGCTTACGGACATTGTTTTTGTTTGTTTGGCTATTTTTTGTTTTTTTTTTCTTTTTTCTTTTTTCTTTTACGACTTCTTCTCGTCGTGTTTTGTACGATCTCGTATCTCTTTGAGATAACGGATGACAGTTGTTAGCTCCAACAACATCCAATACACCTATTGTCCATGTTCTGTTACAAAGAGATTCGTTTTTATAAATCAATACATCACAAGTACATACAATTGTATGAAAAATTTAAATCAGGTAATATTTCACTTTGGAGTGGTAGAAATTTTCCAATTCCTAGTTATAGACCTTTTTTTTCGAGAAAGTAATGAGGCAAACAATTGTATCCAAGGATCAAACGTAATATTCAATGACGCAGTATAAAAATGCACGATTGACCCTGGTACTTACAACTGTAAAACGGAAATATTTCTACTATTCTTGCACTCCTTAGGATTTAGATTTTGTAGCAGAAAACCTTACGTACGTGCTATTCATAAGAAATGAGGATCAACGCATATTATAGATACGTGTGGTTTTTTGGTCCATCTTGGAACTACAGGAGAGTACGATACGTATAAATTTGAAAAGCTCCACTGCAAAGTGGATAACTGCCACGAATTTATTTTTAAAGCTAAAAAATCGTACAAATGATGCTGTGCTGTAAAATCGATTGGAAGTGACGTTTATTATTGAAGGAAAGTTTAATGGTTTTACTATCGAACAAACAATCATACTCTTTACAAATACAAGGGTACGTTACTATCAGCTCGTACAACTGGGTTATCTCCCTCGGTTCTTGATCATCACTCGAAAATTCAAATTGTAACGATTCTCGTTGTCAATATTGTGAGCCCACGTCTTGCATTCGATCTTCACCAGGTGGTCCTCTGAAATGAAAGAAAAAAATTACAATAATCATTATCTCCATACTCGGCAAAGATCACAAAAGTTTTTGGATCATCGAATTTCGGTTACTACTTATCTGTGCAATCTATAGTTTTGTTTTAATACAGTAAATAGATGTGCCATTTTTATTTATTTTTTTTTTTTATATTTGAAAAAATCACATGGTTCTTAGTTTTGCCTTTATTAATACAAGGTTTATCCGAAGCAACGAGGATAAAGCAGAATGTACAGCTTGTAATGAACAAGTAATTATATACATTGCAAACATTGCAAGTTACATGGATTCCATTAATCAGTAAGAAGACTGTATCATGCGTACGTAAGTTATTCACTTGCACGATATTTTCAAAGTAAACGGTTGCTAGTTGATTTTTGTTTAAAAATCTATAAAAATACCTGGATTTATATTGTTTTGCAAGATGATATGATCTCAAGTAGTACAAGGAACAAAACCCGGAATGATGAAGATGAGTTGATAAATTTTTTTGAAATTGATAATATTCAAGTACGCGGTAAGACAAAAACTACTTTTTCGTGTCACATTTATCTTCTTTCCATCGTATTTCAACGATTTCTCTTATCAGTCGCTTACAAAAAATGTTACACAAACCGATCGAACTATCTTAAAGAAGTTTTTTTACCTAATTATCATACGACTGAAACGAGAAAAAAAAAAGCGCCAAACAATGCGTACACGTAGTTCTCCGTTATCCAATACCCATTACGCAATATAAAACTCGCGTCGGTGATTGCTCGAAAAAATAAAAAAAAAAAAGAATAGAAAAAGAAAAAAACACGTGTCTATTATAATGATCATGAGCGACTTTTCATTGACATTCTATGTATACCTCTGTTTTTTAATCGATATTTCTGCGTAGAAAAAAGTGACAAAAAAAATTTTGTTGAATTACTCCAAAAACTCGCCACACGTTTACGTGTATACGTACACTGTCGTATTTTGACTCGTTGGAACTATAATCATGCAATGAAAAAAGCTCGCTTAAAGAAAACTCAGTCCCGCCTTAAGAAAAAAAAAAAAAAAAAAAGTAATAATTTTAGCACTTGGCTCAGTGCTAGAGCGGTGGCATGAAGAAATAACCCCTCACCACTTTTTCCAATAAACAGCACAGCTAACTATAGATTCCGTAGAACTTGATAAACGCGTGTATTAGCACTCGGGACCCCCCAATAACTTTTTAAAGTTTAGTATCAATAATACGTCAACTTTATAAGTTGCAATTGATATATTTTATAAATTACACAATACAAATATTAAAGTCCAATACAATTTTAAAAACAAGTAAAGGAACGACAAATGCTCTACATACATTATCTTCAATGAAATATCCATATCACGAATACATATAATATTCATCTTATCTGTTGATTGACGAGTTCGTAGCACCGATAAATTATGACTGTTGATCAATGAATTTAATTTTTTCAACTCATTAGCTTAAAATGAAATCGATTTCAAAAATTCGTATTTCATCGACGTAGTCATTAAAAGCTAAGTATATATCAAACTGGTAAATTATAAACAAAGATAAAATTATATCTGATTCAAATGAAATAAGTGTGCAACAGCAGTTGGCAGAGTATCACGCACCGACTTACGTATCATCGATTTTATTGCAATTTGTTTATATTAGTAAAAGCATGAAAACAAGATCATTAACTTTTTTTTATTCATCTAGGTACTCTAACAATTTCTTATCACATCCGGACTAAGAGTTGTTCGAGGGAATGTGATTAACATTGATGAAGTAATAAATTTAAAAAAAAATGATACGTGGAAAAGATTTTTGTGAGGTATGTACTTATATTTTATCATTGAAAAAACGGGCGAGTACTTTTGTTGAAAGCTGGTGTAAAGTAAATTACCCACGTCATGAGTCTTGAAGATACATCGACCTACTACACATGATAAAATTAGTATTAATAAGATCGTACCTAAAAATTAACCTTTTAAATTTTTTATCGAGCTGTATCCTATCATTCATCAAATGATTTTCCGTCATTTAAATTAACCAACTTTTCATGTGGAAATCAATTTATCGATTACTTCCAAGCAATTTTAAGTTCATTATCGCCCGATATAATCGCAAGATCCGAGAGATAACGGTTTGATAGAAAAAGCGTAACTTTGTTCGTTATCTACTTATAAGTGGATTAGAATATACCCTGTAACATACTGTCAGCTTCTAAATAAGTCGACGATAACAAAAGTTAAAAATGCAGAGGTTAAGTGAATCGACACAGATAAAAAAAAAATTATTATTGTTTCATTAACATATCTTGAAAGCGCTTACTAAGCAATTATTTCGTATGCTTATCATCATTGAGAAAAGTCAAAACATTGCTGATAAAAAAATAAATAAAAATAATGCCATAGACGCCGTAAATTAAAAAAAAAAAAAAAAATAGAGGCATTTCTCTCTCAACGAGAGGCATAAAAGCAATTAGTGCCGAATGCATCCTATTTTAGATAAGTCGACTGATAGCACAGTGCCAACAGACCGCTTTTATCGCGCAAAGTACGAGGTAGTTGTAGAAACGTCAGAACTTCCTATATTGCGAGCCGTGTAGCTCCCCCCCCCTTCCTCGTACACCTTGGTCCGAAATTAATGCCGAAAAATTTTGCTAAAAACCCAACTCGTTTCGAGACAATAAAAAAAGTATGACAGTATCGACTGCAGAGTCAATGCCCATGATTTTCCAATGTACGCTAAACTAATGAATTTTTCCTTCATAAGTATTATTTTTTTTTTAAAAAACTTTATCCATCGATTTATTACATTGAAAATACATATAAAAAATCACGCATCGGACGAATGTTTGTCATAGCCACCCGTTACACAGTGCAGGCAACCTTGCCTACTCCTCTTTATTCGCCGAGCTTTTTCCGCAACCACCGAGCTAATTTTGGCCGGCACGCGCCCGTCATAATATCATCAAGCGTGCACGGCGCGAGTAACATCGGTGAAAAATATAATCTCGAGTTTTTGCCCGCAATCCACCACCCCGTATATTCCAAATGATGGCAAATAAACAAATGATATATACCTTGTAAAAGAAAAAAAAAATTGTACAAACCTACCCCATTTTTTTTTGTCGCGCCCTAATAAGGTTTTCTCCTCGGGATTGTATATCGCGTTCTTGAACGCCTGCCACTTGGTCCTGGTGTCCGGTCTGCGGCTGCTAACCTCGTACTCGTCCTTCGTCTCTTTCACCGGCGAGCCCATCTCCTCGCAATGTATATATATATATATATATACCCACACTCGTATATATATATATGTGTGTATGTTTTTAATTCAACGCGTTATCGGGAGGGGGTGAGGAAAATTTTGACAATTTTCAACTCATTCAACGAGCCGTGTTCGCATACGGCCTGCAAAATTCAACAAATCGCACGATATACCCCTGCACCACTACTATCTCTTCCAAACAGGTGTGGATGTATATTATTAATGTTATCACTCGGCGCAAGATCGGCGTATCGCTCTAATGCGAGTTTCGTCGGTGAACGCCGAGCGCGTACTGCCTTTGCCGTGCCCGTGCGTATATACTTAGTCAGTGATATTCATTTACG